ATATTAATAATTTGTATTGACAAGTTTTTGAGACGTAAATTTTTTTCGGTTTTGCATAAGTCAAAGTTAGCTGTTGATGAAATTGTGACTTGTGAGTCACATTTTCATTATTCAAAGTTGATGACGACGTATGTCTGAGGCTATCAAAAGTTTTTCTGTAAGATGAGTTCTTTTGAATCCATCCACACAATAACAACACGAAAGACGTGTATTGTCAAGGTTTTGAATCTTGATTTGTTCGTATTGGAAGAGTTAGACATCAGTCCTTACGTCATGTTCTCCAGTTGCCCAAAAGTATGAAGGTAATAATATATACATAAATATATTGAATAAAATTGCAATGAAAGAAAAGGCCATATTTGAATTGAAACCCAAATTCTTTCCGGATCTAAAAAATCTAAGCTTAAAGATCAAATGATCCGGACCGTTGAAATGTAATCCAACGACTATAATTATTATAACTATTATAGGGGCTTCCTGTTTGTAGCCGTTGGATCAAATTTCAACGATTCGGATCATTTGATCCTTAGGCTCAGATTTTTTGGATCCGGAGAGGATCTGGGCTCGTTGAATTGAGCTCTTCAAAGAATTAATCAGATAAGAAGTCATCTTGTTCAGAAATCAAGTAATATGGTAGAGATGAACCAATGGAGACCGAGGACGTACAGAAATCAAGTATTTGAAATTATACTAAAAAATTGGACTCCCATAAGAACTCTTGGAATGAATATATATGGCGGCCTTGTGACAAATTTTATAACCACGGCCATGCAACCGCGAGCAATTTTTGAGGGTTCGCTGGCATTACTGTTTACGTGTTAATTTGAATAAGCAACATAATTGATATGTCATGGAACACAAAATATATAATATTAATAAATAAAGATATATACATCAACTGTGGATATACTTTCAACACAATATTATTAGAAAATAATCGTATGCCACATACTCAGAAAACAAGCATCCCGCAGAAGTCACAAACCAACTAGGTATACCTGTATAAATATGTAGAGATGCCTGCCAATTAACATTGAGCCAGGCTGCTGAACCACCCTCACTACACTTTGCATAAACCAAGCCACATAAATTTTCTTCGCGTTTTTCCAATGGCTAACCAAAACTCACTCCCTCTACACGAAAGAATAGAGCTTAGATACACTCTGCATAAAGTCATTGAGTTCATAATCCTCTTCCTCCTCCTTTCACTCCTCGTTCATCGTCTTCTCTCTTTCAACAACCATGGTTTCGCTTGGCTCATTGCTTTCCTGTGTGAGCTCTCATTCACCTTAAATTGGGTCATCATCATAAGCAACAAATGGAACATTGTCGAATATAAAACCTACCCTGACCGCCTCTTACAACGGTATCTATTCACATCATCTCATTTTATGTATCGCTTAATTATATATGGAACTTTTTGATGATAATGTAGTTTTGTTGATAATTAGGGTTTCTAAGCATGAACTCCCTCCGGTGGACATGTTTGTGACAACTGCAGACTCGGAGTTGGAACCACCTATTATTACCATAAACACTGTTTTGTCTCTGTTGGCTGTGGACTACCCAACAAACAAGCTAGCTTGCTATGTATCTGATGATGGCTGTTCTCCTCTCACCTTCTACTCGCTTTCGGAAGCATCAAAGTTTGCCAAACTTTGGGTTCCATTCTGCAAGAAATACAATGTTCAAGTTAGAGCTCCTTTTAGATACTTCTCAAATAATAGTGCCACATTTTCCAGTAATCACTCGAGTGAATTCAAGCAAGAATGGACATTATTGAAGGTGACCAATAATTTCAAATTTGATTTATATTACCAGAAAAATACTTATATATGTTGCAACTGTGTGAATTTAAACCACATATTCAGGAAAAGAACTTGATCAATGGTTCATATTCACAATATATAGCAACACTTTATACTTTTGACTGTTTGGCAAAAGAACATTATTTTTGTTATTTTGTCTATTGTATGTATATATACTCGATGATGACAAATGAACTTGTTTGTATTCTTGTTCTGAAGGATGAGTACGGGCAGCTTAGCCGCAAAATTGAGGATGCGGTGGGAAAATGTATTCCATTCGATGTTAGCCAAGACTTTGCAGTTTTTTCAAATATAGAACGTAATAATCACCCAACAATTATCAAGGTATATACGGCACATTGTTCTGAACTTTCTGCTCCTTTATCCTTTGCGCTGTGGCTTTTCTTCAAAGCAACGTTTTCAGTTTTTGGAAAAATGTATGTTAGATAAAGCATATGAAATACGAAATATATATATATATATAGTGGTACATACTATATCTATCCAGAAAAATACAGAGACAGACACAAAAAATATCTATATGATGTAAGAACTAGACAAAGATACCCTAGCTAGGACCATTTACAACTGTATCAATCCCATGACTCCTTCACCTATACTACGGTTTTGTCGTTCTGTAAGAATTTAGATGGACCGAATTTCCTAGCTATTTTTCCCTTGCCAAATTAAAACTAATCTGAAACAGGCAATTGCGAGGGTGGGTCGTGAAATGAGTTAGAATTACGATGGCTTGATTCCCTTTGCAACCAAAAACAAAAAAAGAAAAACCAAAAAAGAGCTCGGGTGCATTTTAAAACACTAATTAGATAGCTTAGAAAACTGATTGATTCGATGATTTTATATTTTGAAGGTTCTGTGGGAGAACAAGGAAGATGCTTCAGATGGACCGCCACATTTGGTTTATATATCAAGAGAAAAACGGCCAAAGCATCCCCATCATTCCAAAGCCGGGGCCATGAATGTTTTGGTATCATGAGTTTAATTTCATATATATATCTGATCATTATTTAATTTTAACCAGTTGATCAATTAATTGATCACTAATATATTGATTGTAGACTAGAGTCTCTGGATTAATGACCAATGCACCCTTCATGCTGAACGTAGACTGCGACATGTTTGTCAACAACCCAAACATTATGTTGCAAGCAATGTGTGCGTTGCTCGGATCCGAGAACGAAACCAAAAATGCGTTTGCTCAGTTTCCACAGATCTTCTATGACGGACTCAAGGATGATCCATTCGGGAATCAGATGGTAGTTTTGATGAAGGTACACACAAAAATCAATTTTGTCAGATTTTATGACGGTCCATAAATCAAAGCTTATATATGAAGAATAAACATGATTTTCATTTGCTAACTAAATAATATAACTGTTACCATGTATGCATGCATGGTAGTTTGTGGGGCATGGAATAGCAGGAATTCAAGGCCCTATTTATGCGGGAACAGGATGTGTTCATAGACGAAAAGTTATCTATGGTCTATCTCCTACTGATACCAAAACCGGAGAAAGATACCCTAATATTGGTAGTGGTAAATCAAATTAAATGTCTAAAACCTGATGTGTAAACTCAATGAATGCATGATCGATCCTAGTTTTACTGTTTTTTTGGCTAGAAATGCTTAAAACTTTTGGGACTTCAGAAGAATTTTCCAAATCAGCTGGTGATGCCTTGCAAGGGAATACAGAATGTATAAGAATGTCTTCCAAATCCATTGAGGCTGCACACCGAGTTGGAGAATGTGAGTACGAATATGGCACCAATTGGGGTATAAAGGTACATTGATGAAATATTGTTTTGTATCGATAAAATTTTGTCACATTAGTTGAGATTTAAAAACTTAAGATAGGATTCGGTACAACTACGGTTAATTGCAGCGTCCCTTCCAATTACGAGTTTCATTTCATTTTTCAATCTCTATCTGTGCATATTTTTTTTTTTCTTTGTTAATTCCTTATATTGCTTAGGTGGGATGGAGGTATGGATCAACAACAGAAGATATGCTTACTGGCCTTTCAATCCATAACAAAGGTTGGAATTCTATTATTTGTACACCAGACCCACCGGGGTTTCTAGGATGTGCACCTACAGGTGGTCCTGATTCCATGACCCAGCAGAAGAGATGGGCAACAGGCTTGCTTGAAATCCTGCTTAGTAAAAATTGTCCCATATTTGGCACTCTATTTGCAAACCTCCAATTTAGGATGTTCTTGTGTTACTTCTGGGCCCTTACTTGGGGCCTACGTTGTATTCCTGAGCTGTACTATGCTGCTCTGCCAACTTATAGTATCATCACCAACACACATTTCTTACCCAAGGTGAGAGATATATATACCATTCCACATCCCTTGAATATTGTAGTGTTCATGCAAGTAAAATTAATATTTACCAATCGGGTCGTTATCAATTTTTTTTTGCTAAAATGGTGGCAATGTTTCATTTTTTTATATATCAAGAAAATCTGTATGTACACTGCTACATTAATTGGTGAACAAATTTGATGATATTAGAGTCGTTGTTCAAGAGTTTTTACTTTTCCTAAACGTTTAGATCTAAATGTGTAATGCAGGGCCAAGAACCAACCTACTATATACCCGTAGCTCTCTTCGTCCTTTACCATATTTACACTTTATTGGAGCACCTTGAAACCGGTCTATCGATCCGAGCATGGTGGAATAACCAAAGAATGGGAAGAATAATTGTAATGAGTGCTTGGTTATTTGGATTTATTGGTGTCATACTCAAACTCTTAGGGATATCTGAGACAGTCTTTGAAGTTACCAGAAAAAATCAATCTACTTCAAGTGATGAAGGCTCTAAAGATAGTGAAGCTGGCAGATTCACATTTGACACGTCTCCAATTTTCGTGCCTCCCACAACTATTTTGCTGGTGCAGTTAACCGCGCTTGCTACTGCTTTCTTGGGTCTGCGGCCGCAAGATCAAGACAAGTTAGGGTCAGGCCCCTTGGAAGTTATAAGTAGTGTGTGGTTGGTGTTATGCCTCTGGCCATTTTTGAAAGGGTTGTTTGGTACTGGGAAGTATGGAATTCCCCTATCCACCATATTCAAGTCTGTTGGTTTCACGCTACTGTTTTACACCCTGTGTAGAAATTAGAGTGATGCCCCTAAGCTTAATTATGACTAGTTGTCAGGCATTGATGCAAGTGAGTCTCACATCTCATCAACCGCTTACAACCGCTAAAGTGCGCATTGTCGGAAACTGTTGCTAGCTCTCACGCTTCTAAACCATAAACGATGGTAGTATTACCCTAGCGCTCACCATCGAAAACCAAAATTTTCTTGGGTTTAGTATCTAATTCTGTAGTGTATGCTACAATTTCAACTTGGTAAAACATCCTTTAGAAGATATATGATATCACATGCTTATCTGGTTTACTATATAATTAAGCATTCCCATGTGATTACATTGGGACTAGTGGTGGAACCACACAAAGAAATATTTTCTCTTGCAACCATTTCATAATTTAAGTGGCATCACTAAACCAATTAATGTTTGCCACATGTTTAAAAACTGAATCACTATTCCATAAAGAACTTGCCATGTAGTGAAATGTTGCAAAAGGGAACCCCTTCACATGAGGCCAAGAATAGACTCAGGCCCCTCTTGCAGTACTTTTTTTTTTTTTTTTTTCATTTTGTTGTGTATGCTTTTGTTTTTGGTGTTTTAATTTAAAGTATTCTCAGTGAGTAACTCTATATGAGGTTGGAAAAGTGGTGGATATAACTCATTTAAGAGTCTTGATGAATCTTTAAGGCTCTAAAAAAGAGTCTCTTCTAATGAAGGGCTGTTTGTGACATAGCTTGCTATTTATCAGATGATGGGTGTTCACCTCTCACTCTCTACTCTCTCATTGAAGCCTCTGCTAAGCGTTGGGTATCCTTTTGCAAATAGTACCATGTTCAAGTTAGAGCACCGTTCAGATACTTCTCTGACAATCCCATTTTATCAAGTTATAGTCCATCAGGACTCATTCAAGAATGGACAAAAAATGAAGGTAGAATTTGGCCTTATATGCTTAGTTGAATCTGTATATATGTATGATGTATCTATCTGTAATTTTGTAGGATGAGTACGAAAAGCCCTGCCAAAAAATTGAAGATGCTGTCCAAAAATTGGCTTCTCTTGATTTTTCTAGTGACTCTGGATTTTTCTCACATAGACAGCAGGAACCATCCCACTATAATCAAGGTTCTTTTTCTTTTAATTCATACTACAAGAAAAAACCTGCCAATAAATTTAAATTTAGTTTCATTGGTAAAGTGATATATATATGCATGATGACTTTAATGGAGTGAAAATAACAGCTCTTATTCAAATTTTCTGATTATATACTAAACAGTTAGTTGACGACTAATATTGAGTTAGTTGACGACTAATATTGTTGTAGCGCCATGTCCTGAAATATTTATTTTGGAAAATAATATTGGTGATAGGCCCAAATTAAACTCTTGTTTATTTAACAACCATTAATTACGATTCTTTAATTAAATCCTTAGTCCCACACATGACCTATAACCATAATTCCCTTACCAAAACATACGATTATATTTTCAATTTATCACCATTTCCTTCTCTTAGTTCAAATTCCCAACTAAATATAAATTCTTGATTACTTAAGGTTGCGCCTAACCTCTGTTAGACTGCCTACGTATACGTACCCTTGAGTAGGATCAAGTCTTTCGTAGTTTCTCGCTCACCCTTTTATCCACTTCCGAAAATACTCTAATAACGGTAATATTCAATATTAGATTACAAAATCGAATCACACCAAATGGGTACCAAACTAGAAAAAGAAGCAAGAAGATACTTAGCATTGAGATGCAGCAAATAAATCAACAAACACACACAATATTAGCAAGGGTTAACGTAAGCTCAGCGAATTTACTTAGGGATAAGTGCTTTGAATCCAGGAGCAAGTTGAGAAATCTTGACAGCATGGTTCTTAATTTCAAAATCCACACCCCACCACTCTTGAAGCACGACAATCCCCGGAGCACCATCTTTGCCAACAACATATGCATCAAATGTCTGGTCATTATGCTCAAAGAAGAACAAATTAGAAATAAGGTTCACTAGGAGTTATTTCCAACCATTGCATAAGTTCGTTTTTTAATTCAATAGATTGTTGACACTAAATTAATCTAATCTAAAATGGAAATTCGAACTAGAATATGGACAGATATATTTCCATGGACGGATATATTTCAATTACTCCAACACATAGATGTCCAAAAATTGACACAAAGCAATCTCGATTCCTCCCTAATACATACATATATGTAAGAAATTTTCGCATACGTCTTGATAACATTACATTGTATTCTAGATTAAAACACTTTCAAACTCAATAATTAAGAAAAAAAACCCAACTGTGTTACAAAAGAAGGGCACCAAATAAATTTCACTACTACAAATCAATTAGAGCACAAAATATAGATAGATGATTAGTTTTTCTTTTACCAATCAAGCACTTGGAATGTTTGTACCTAGTACCTATAGTTGATGGGGTGTTTTTGACAGGAAAGGGATCTACTCCGGATCCATTTTGTGAGGATTTTAGAATACTTATATTTTATCTGTTTATCGTGTATCGTGAGATTAGTTTTCGTCTGATACTATTTGTGTTTAATTTTAAATAAAAAAAGTCAAATGATTTTTAACTGCAAAATACATGATGAATGACTAAAATATAAGGATTCCCACAAAATGAATCGGGATGGAATCCAGTTCCTTTTTTCCCATTTCCCATGAATAATTGTCAAAGAAAAAAAGTGCACAAAGTCCCTCGGAATTTAACAGTAAAAAAACAAAATGGAAAGAGTTCAAAAGAACGAATACTCACGGTGTCGTCTCTTTGGATTTGGATTTTGTTGAAGGGGGCAGCAGAGCCGGCGGCCATGGCGCGCACTGAGAAGAGAGAAAGGGCAGAGGGCGAGAGAGTCCGGATGGGTGAGAAGGAAGTGGCAGTGGAGTTCGGGAGGGCCTTGGAGAAGAAGAAGGCTCGGGAAGCTGCTGATCGCAGACCACTACCAGTAGCAAAAGCAGCGAGAGTCGTTGGAGGAGGTTGTTTACCCTTCTAATCTCTCTATTCTTTCATACCTTCGTTAAACTCGTCAACATCTTATATTAATTTTTTTATATAAATAATAAGACGAAAAATAATGTATGAAATGAGAAGATGAAAGAGAATATAAATAGAAGGATAGAGAATTCTGCCTCAGAGTTGTTTGGGTCGTTAAGTGAAAATGCCGTGGCATATTTTAATAGATGAATATTCTCAACTGTCGGTGGACGGAATAAAACACGTTCACGAGGTCATTTCATCGTTTGCAATGGTATTTGGGCCGAGCTGATTATTTGACAACCCAAGACCTGATTTTTGTGGCCCATGACAAACGAAGAAGAAGAGGAAAGGGAGAGGAGCTGAATAGAGATGTTATAGACATTTCAAAATAATCATCCTACATCGGTTTTTAATATAAAAATAGGGGAAGAAAACAAAAAAGTTAAAGAATTTTCAATGGAGATGCCAAATTTTAAATATAAAATTTGGATATAACAACGAATGTGACATTTTGATATCTTTTAATGTTTTGTTCTGTATCTGATATGTCAAATTAAACTATTATTATAGTATAATAAATAGTTTTAGAACAAAAATAATAATAAAAAATAAAAATCATTTAATAATCAATTAGAAAATGATTTGAAGTTGTTGTCAATTTTGGCAGCAAAGGAAATGGTTGTCAATTTGTGCCAATTAGAATTGACTTTTCAATTAAGAAATACTACTACTATCGCTTTTGAATGTCAATTTTGATTTGGACCTTTTAATGTTAAATGTATTTAGTCATACACTTTATATTCCAAGTTCGATTCTCTCTGATGCAATTTGTTTAGCAAACAAAAGCAAAATGGTGACAATCAATATTGTTATGAATCGAATTAATAATTAGGAATGTAATCATTATTCATACACTTTGTACTACTTTTAAGGTAAGAAAACTCATTAGGAAAATTTTATTTAAACTCATGTAACCTCTTTCTACACCTAACTTAAATTTTAAATGTACATTATCCTTTTACCCTATTGCATAATTATCATCAGGTACAAAATGAAATTAATAATAAAATTAAAATTTATCAATAAACCCACACACTATAATTAAATTTATCATTACTCATTGTTTATCTTGTGTTCATTCTTTCTAAAACCCTAATAGTTTTTATATAGAAAAACAATTTTTCTTTTTTAATTGATGGATGGTGATTTTGAAGTCTTGAATTCTCCAACTAAAGTATGGCTCGATTTATGAAAATTTTTGTTCGTCTGATTTCAATTTTTCTTAGATTGTAGAAAGATGAGTATTTGGGTTTCAATTTTTTTTTCGTCAACATTCTACAACAGTTGTAATCAAAGTATTGATATATAAGACCCTTTCTATGGAAAGGAGAAGTATTAGTAATTTGTTTGGCTTTGGCATATCAGAAAGCGAAAGTTGTTTTCGTGCTAGCTTGTACTCCTATATGAAACCCTTCACTTCAACTTCATATTACAAATTTGTTGGAGTTCTAATTGACATTTGTTTTCCTTCTAAGAAATTGCTTGGGGTAGTGCATGTTAGTGAGTGCAGGTTAGATGAATTTCTTTCATCAAATAAAATTAAAAAATTGCAGCAAAAAACAAACACACACAAACACCAAAAGACAAACAAATAAAAACCAACAGCCATGGAAAATGCTATAATGTTGTACGCAGCTCCAATAGAAATTTGAAACTTTATCAAAAATCAAATAAGATGCAGCAAAAAAATGCAGAGAAAATTTTGAAAAACAAAAAGCTCTGTTTCTAAAGAGCTCAAGGTGGGAGGGGAGACAAATGACTCAGAAGATTTTTTATTTTCGAGTTTCTTTGAGATTTTATTTTATAATGGGTGTAAAGATAAATATACTTTTTAATTGGGTTGGTAAGGTACTTTAGGTAATAAATTTGGGTTCAAAGAGATATTAATTCGTTAATTAAAAATAATATGAGTGTGGAGAGTAAATTGGGTGTAAAAGAAGGTTAGATGAGTTCAAATAAAATTTCCCAACTCATCATGACTTGTATAAATAAAGATATAAGACTAAAGCGTGATAACACAATTCTCATACACCTGAGCATTCCTCTTTCACCCTTCCCTTCTCCCTCTCACCCAATTTTATAATTAGTTTTAAAACAAATAAGATAAAATAGCAAGCACAATTTTTGATACACATGAATTGCTGTTATGCCAGAGTCATCACCCTGAGTCTCTACTTCAACTCCTCCAATGCTTCCTCAAGCACCCTAACCAAATCAAACAGATCCATTCCCGCCTAATCACCAACGGTCATCTCCTCCACAACCAAAACCCTAAACCCTCCGCTTCCAAATGGATGCCAACCCTCCTCTACAACGCTTTGATCAGAGCCCATCTCGGTTTCGGCCAACCCCGCAAGACCCTCCTCCTCTTCATCCACATGCTTGCCCACCAAGCCCTCCCAACAGCCACACATTCCCTCCGCTTATCAAAGCCCCCGCAGCCACCTCTTCCTCCTCCTCATCGCCCTGTCCGGGCTCTCCCCTTCATACCCAAGTCGTAAAACGCGGCGTTTTGCGCGACCCTTTTATACAGACCTCGTTTGTGAGCTTCTATGCTCGAGCTTGGTAAATTGTGCGATGCGCGTAAGGTGTTTGAGGAAATGTCTGAACCATGTGTGGTTGCGTGCAATGCGATGATTAATGGGTTTGGGAAGAATGGGGATATGGGTTCTGCTGTTTTGCTATTTGAAGGCATGCTGGAAAGGGACGTGGTTTCATGGACAAGCGTTATAAACGGGTTTGGAAGAGATGGGTGTTTTAGCGAGGGAATTCGGTTTTTTCAGATGATGATGAATCATGAGAATGTGATGGGTTGTTTTGTGAAGCCAAATGAAGCTACTTATGTTAGTGTGCTTTCTTCCTGTGCTAATTTGGGTGGGTGGGGATCTATTTATTGGGGGAAGCAAATACATGGGCATGTTATTAGGAATGAGATTGAATTGACTGCGTTTTTGGGGACTGCATTGGTGGATCTTTACGGGAAGACTGGCTGTTTGAACAGCGCCAGATACGTGTACCAGCAAGTGGTAGTTAAAGAAGTTTGTACTTGGAATGTGATGATTTCTGCACTTTCTTTGAATGGTAAAGAGAAGGAGGCTTTGGACTTGTTTGAAAAAATGAAGATCGAGAGGTTGCAGCCTAATGAGGTTACATTTGTCGCAGTTCTTACAGCATGTGCTCGGGGAAAACTGGTGAAGTTTGGTTTGGAATTGTTTAGATCGATGACAAATGATTTCGGGGTTGAGCCGATAATGGAACACTACGGGTGTGTGGTTGACCTCTTGGGCAGAGCAGGGCTGTTTTGGGAGGCAACTGAAGTTATTAAGGGCATGCCTTTCGAGCCTGATGCCTCTGTATTGGGGGCTCTTTTAGGTTCTTGTAAGATTCATGGGACTGCTGAGCTGGGAAATGAAGTTGGTGAGAAACTTCTCGAGTTGCAGCCACAACACTGTGGACGGTACGTAGTTTTGTCAAACATTAATGCTGGGAAGGAGAGATGGGATCTTGCTGCAGCTGTGAGGAAAACAATGGTGGTAGCTGGAATTCGGAAAATTCCGGCCTACAGTATGATTGATGTAAACTAGAATTAGGGAAACTGATAATTTCTTGAATTTCTAATTATCTAACTATTTGTGTCTTAGCCATTTAAAGTTGTGTAGAAAAATTGGAATTTCAGAATTTACAATTTTACCTTGCGACTCCAATATGGTTTTAGCAACAAAATATATGGTTGGTCCTGCTTGCTTGAGAACAACTGGCACGAATTGAACCACTATCATAACTTGTCCCTTTGAACGACTCCAGAAGAAATGACTTGCATTCTCCATCCCCTTGGCGTCATATGGAACAGAATCTCAATCTGTCACGTTGTTAGTCCTAGCTGGGGAGTCCCCACTTTCTAAGAAAGAATATTATTATCTAAGTCGACGCAGTGTTTGAGACGTAAATTTTTTTAGCTTCGAATGAGTGACAGTGAGCAGTTGATGAACTGTGAGTCACACTTTTATTATCAAAAGTTAATGGTGACGCACGTCTGAAGCTGTCAGAAGTTTTTCTCTAAATGAATTATTTTGATTCCATCCACACTATACAAATAAAAAAAGACGTGCACTTTAAAGGTTTTGATGTGTTCCTATTGGAAGAGTTAGACATCAGTCCTTACGTTTTCGACCCAAAAAAGATATCAGTCCTTACGTCATGTTCTCCAGTCCCCAAAAGTTTGAAGGTAATAATATATACATATATATATGTTGAATAAAATTATAATGAAATGAAAGGCCGTATTTGAATTGAGCTCTTCAAAGAATGAATCAGATAAGAAGTCATCTGGTTCAGAAATAAAGTAATAAGGTAGAGATGAAGAAATGGAGACCGAGGACGTACAAAAATCAAGTATTTGAAATTATCCTAAAAACTTGGACTCCCATAAGAACTCTCTGGAAAGAATATGGCGGCCCTATGACAAATTTTATAACCATGGCCACGCAATCTGCGAGCAGTTTTTGAGAGTCCGGTGATGTTACTGTTCACATGTTTTAATTTGAATAACTAGCATAGTTGATATGTCATGGACACAGAATATATAATATTTATAAATAAAGATATATACATCAACTGTGGATATGCTTTCAACACAATATTATTAGACAATAATCGTATGCCACATACTCAGAAAACAAGCAGACCGCAGAAGTCACGGACCAACTAGCTATACCAGTATAAATATGTAGAGATGCCGGCCAATTAACATTGAGCCAGGCTGCTGAACCACCCTCACTACACTTTGCATAAACCAAGCCACATAAATTTTCTTCACATTTTTCCAATGGCTAACCAAAACTCACTCCCTCTACACGAAAGAATAGAGCTTAGATACACTCTGCATAAAGTCATTGAGTTCATAATCCTCTTCCTCCTCCTTTCACTCCTCGTTCATCGTCTTCTCTCTTTCAACGACCATGGTTTCACTTGGCTCATTGCTTTCCTGTGTGAGCTCTCGTTCACCTTAAATTGGGTCATCACCATAAGCAACAAATGGAACATTGTCGAATATAAAACCTACCCTGACCGCCTCTTACAACGGTATCTATTCACATCATCTCATTTTATGTATTGCTTAATTATATATGGAACTTTTTGATGATAATGTAGTTTTGTTGATAATTAGGGTTTCTAAGCATGAACTCCCTCCGGTGGACATGTTTGTGACAACTGCAAACTCGGAGTTGGAACCACCTATTATTACCATAAACACTGTTTTGTCTCTGTTGGCTGTGGACTACCCAACAAACAAGCTAGCTTGCTATGTATCTGATGATGGCTGTTCTCCTCTCACCTTCTACTCGCTTTCGGAAGCATCAAAGTTTGCCAAGCTTTGGGTTCCATTTTGCAAGAAATACAATGTTCAAGTTAGAGCTCCTTTTAGATACTTCTCAAATAATAATACAACCTTTTCCAGTAATGACTCGAGTGAATTCAAGCAAGAATGGAGATTATTGAAGGTGACCAATAATTTCAATTTGATTTATATTACCAGAAAAATACTTATATATGTTGCGACTGTGTGAATCTAATACCACATATTCAGAAAAGAATAATTAACTTGATTAGTGATTCATATTCACAATATGTAGCAACATTTTATACTTTCGACTGTTTGGCAAGAGAACATTATTTTTGTTATTTTGTCTATTTTATGTATATATACCTGATGATGACAAATGAACTTGTTTGTATTCATGTTCTGAAGGATGAGTACGAGCAGCTTAGCCGCAAAATTGAGGATGCGGTGGGAAAATCTATTCCATTCGATGTTAGCCAAGACTTCCCAGTTTTTTCAAATATAGAACGTAATAATCACCCAACAATTATCAAGGTATATACGGCTCAATGTTCTGAAACTTTCTGCCCCTTTATCCTCTGCGCTGTGGCTTTTCTTCAAAGCAACGTTTTCAATTTTTGGAAAAATGTATGTTAGATAAAGCATATGAACTATGAAATATATATACATATATAGTGGTACATACTATATCTATCCCGAAAGATACAGAGACAGACACAAAAAATATCTATATGATGTAAGAACTAGACAAAGATACCCGAACTAGGACCATTTACAACTGTATCAATCCCGTGACTCCTTCACCTGCAATATACTACGGTTTTGTCGTACTGTAAAAATTTAGATGGACCGAATTTCCTAGCTATTTTTCCTTTGCCGAATTAAAACTAATCTGAAACAAGCAATTGAGGTGGGTCGTGAAATGAGTTAGAATTAAGATGGCTTGATTCCCTTTGCAACCAAAAACAAAAAAAGAAAAACCAAAAAGGAGATCGGGTGCATTTTAAAACACTAACTAGATAGAAAACTGATTGATTAGATGATTTTATATTTTGAAGGTTCTATGGGAGAACAAGGAAGATGTTTCAGATGGACCGCCACATTTGATATATATATCAAGAGAAAAACGGCCAAAGCATCCCCATCATTCCAAAGCCGGGGCCATGAATGTTTTGGTACCATGAGTTTAATTTCAATATATATATATATATATATATATATATCTAATAATTATTTAATTTTAACCAGTTGATCAATTAATCGATCACTAATTTATTGATTGTAGACTAGAGTCTCTGGGTTAATGACCAATGCACCCTTCATGCTGAACGTAGACTGCGATATGTTTGTCAACAACCCAAACATTATGTTGCATGCAATGTGTACGTTGCTCGGATCCGAGAACGAAACCAAAAATGCGTTTGCTCAGTTTCCACAGATCTTCTATGATGGACTCAAGGATGATCCATTTGGGAATCAGATGGTAGTTTTGTGGAAGGTACACACAAAAATCAATTTTGTCAGATTTTCATTTGCTAACTAAATAATATAACTGTTACTATGTATGCATGCATGGTAGTTTGTGGGGCATGGAATAGCAGGAATTCAAGGCCCTATTTATGCGGGAACAGGATGTGTTCATAGACGAAAAGTTATCTATGGTCTATCCCCTACTGATACCAAAACCGGAGAAAGATACCCTAATATTGGTAGTGGTAATTTGGTAAATCAAATTAAATGTCTAAAACCTGATGTGTAAACTCAATGAATGCATGATCGATCCTAGTTTTACTGTTTTTTTGGCAGGAAAAGTAGAAATGCTTAAAAATTTTGGGACTTCAGAAGAATTCACCAAATCAGCTGGTGATGCCTTGCAAGGGAATACAGAATGTGTAAACATGTCTTCGAAATCCATTGAGGCTGCACACCGAGTTGGAGAATGTGAGTACGAATATGGCACCAATTGGGGTATAAAGGTACATTGATGAAATATTGTTTTGTATCAATAAAATTTTGTCACATTAGTTGAGATTTAAAAACTTAAGATAGGATTCGGTACTACTACGGTTAATTGCAGCGTCGCTTCCAATTCCGAGTTTCATTTCATTTTTCAATCTCTATCTTGCTTAGGTGGGATGGAGGTATGGATCAACAACAGAAGATATCCTTACTGGCCTTTCAATCCATAACAAAGGTTGGAATTCTATTTTTTGTACACCAGACCCACCGGCGTTTCTAGGATGTGCACCTACAGGTGGTCCTGATTCCATGACCCAGCAGAAGAGATGGGCAACAGGCTTGCTTGAAATCCTGCTTAGTAAAAATTGTCCCATATTTGGCACTCTATTTGCAAATCTCCAATTTAGGATGTTCTTGTGTTACTTCTGGGTCCTTTCTTGGGGCCTACGTTGTATTCCTGAGCTGTGTTATGCTGCTTTGCCAGCTTATAGTATCATCACCAACACACATTTCTTACCCAAGGTGAGAGATATATATACCACATCCCTTTAATATTGTACTGTTCATGCATGTAAAATATTTACTAATCGGGTTGTTATCAAGTTCTTTTGCTAAAATGGTGGCAATGTTTCAATTGTTCATATATCAAGAAAATCTGTATATACATTGCTACAATATTTGGTGAACAAATTTGATGATATTAGAGTCATCATTGTTCAAGAGTTTTTACTCTTTCTAATCGCTTTAGATCTAAATGTGTAATGCAGGGCCAAGAACCAACCTACTATATACCCATAGCTCTCTTTGTCCTTTACCATATTTACACTTTATTGGAGCACCTTCAAACCGGTCTATCGATCCGAGCATGGTGGAATAACCAAAGAATGGGAAGAATAACTGTAATGAGTGCTTGGTTATTTGGATTTATTGGTGTCATACTCAAGCTCTTAGGGATAACTGAGACAGTCTTTGAAGTTACCAAAAAAGATCAATCTACTTCAAGTGATGAAGGCTCTGAAGATAGTGAAGCTGGCAGATTCACATTTGACACGTCTCCAATTTTCGTGCCTCCCACAACTATTTTGCTGGTGCAGTTAACCGCGCTTGCTACTGCTTTCTTGGGTCTGCGGCCGCAAGATCAAGACAAGCTAGGGTCAGGCCCCTTGGAGGTTATAAGTAGTGTGTGGTTGGTGTTATGCCTCTGGCCATTTTTGAAAGGGTTGTTTGGTACTGGGAAGTATGGAATTCCCCTATCCACTATATTCAAGTCTGTTGGTTTGACGCTACTGTTCTACACCTTGTGTAGAAATTAGAGTGATGCCCCTAAGCTCAATTATGACTAGTTGTCAAGCGTTGATGCAAGTGGGTCTCACATCTCATCAACCGCTTACAACCGCTGAAGTGCGCATTGCCGGAAACTGTTGCTAGCTCTCATGCTTCTAAACCATAAACGGTGGTAGTACTACCTTCTTAGGTTTAGTATGTAATTCTGTAGAGTGTATGCTACAATTTCAACTTAGTAAAACATCCTTTAGAAGATATATGATATCACATGCTTATCCGGTTTACTATATAATTAAGCATTCCCATGTGATTAACTTTGGGACTAGTGGTGGAGCCACACAAAGAAATATTTTCTCTTGCAACCATTTCATAATTTAAATGGCGTCACTAAACCAATTAATGTTTGTCATGTGTTTAAAAATTGAATCACTATTCCATAAAGAACTTGTCATGTAGTGAAATGTTGCAAAAGAGAACATCTTCACATGAGGACAAGGATAGACCCAAGCCCCTCTTGCAGTACTTTTTTAATTTTGTTGTGTATGCTTTGTTTTTGGTGTTTTTAGAACATTCTCAGTGAATGGCTCTATATGAGGTTGGAAAAATGGTAGATATAATTCATTTTAGAGTCTCAAGGAACCTTTGAGGCTTTATAAAAAAATCTCTCCCAATGAAGAGCTGTTTGTGACATAGCTGGAGCCATCATCATTAGTGTGAACACAGTGCTCTCTCTTCTAGCCGTTCATTATCCAACTCCCAAGCTAGCTTGCTATGCATCAGATGATGGGTGTTCACCTCTCACTCTCTACTCTCTCCTTGAAGCCTCGGCGTTTGCTAAGCGTTGGGTACCCTTTTGCAAAGAGTACCATGTTCAATCCCATTTTGTAAAGTTATAGTCCATCAGGACTCCTTCAAGAATGGACAAAAAATGAAGGTAGGATTTGGCCTTATATGCTTAGTTGAATCTGTATATATGTATGATGTATTTATCTTTAATTTTGTAGGATGAGTATGAAAAGCTCTGCCAAGAAATTGAAGATGCTGTCCAAAAATTGGCTCCTCTTAATTTTTCTAGTGACACTCATAGACAGCAGGAACCATCCCACTATAATCAAGGTTTTTTTCTTTAATTCATACTACAAGAAAAAACCTCCCAATAAATTTAAATTTAGTTTCACTGGTAAAGTTATATATATATATATATGCATGATGACTTTTATGGAGTAACAATATCAGCTCTTATTCAGTTTTTTAGATTATATATGCTAAACAATTGGCCGACGACTAATATCGTGGTCTCCTACAACTATTCCTCTAGGTTTAATTAGTGAAACCTAAATAAACTTTCTATCATTAATGTGAATTAATTTTTGTACAGGTGATATGGGAGAACAAAAGGAGAATTTCTCATGGTCTGGTGCACTTGGTTATGTAGCCAGGAAGAAGCATCCAATTCACGCACATCATTACAAAGCTGGCGCTATAAACACTTTGGTGAGAATTATTTGCTTGACTAAGAAAATGTTACCATCTCTCTTTTCCAATACATTTGTAAAATTTGTAAATTACTGTTGTACTTAGGCTTAATTAGCTAGTGTAAAATCTAAGATTTTATACCTAGTGACTAATTTTTTGAATTAGTTTTATATACATAGACGAGGCTCTTCGGGTGTTATGACAAATGCCCCATTTATGTTAAACGTGGACTGCGACATGTACACCAACAATCCAAAGATCATTCTTCATGCAATGTGCCTACTGCTTGGTTTCAAGCATGAAAAGAAGGTGCACATTAGTACAGATTGCCCAAATGTTACACGACACTTTGAAAGATGATCCATTTGGAAGCAAAGGGATTGTGGCGGTAAAAGTGCGCATATTATGATCATTTGAGTCTTAATTTATGAATATTTTAGGTAGGATAACGATTGGTAATTGATTGTAGGGTTAGTCTCAGTTTACTATTATGAAGTTTCTTTATTTTCAACCTTTGATACATGAAGTTTTTTTCATCCCAGTTTAGTAACTAAAGTCATAATTCTGGGACACTTTCATACATCCGTTAAGTTTTCTATCAGAACCTCTGTTAACTAATGACATGACGCCTACGTAGACAATGACTGGGGGCCACGTGTCAATATGAACCCACGTGGATATTAAAAATTGAAAGAAAAAAAAAATCTTTCCTAGGCATCCTACCTCACCCCTCACGACCCCTCCCTCCTTCTCCCTCTCTTCTCTTCCCTGCACCAACCTCCCTGCACATCTACCCATCTACCCCGCTCCCTTCCTTCTCTCTTATGCACCCACCAAACCTCTGTAACAATCCGTCCTGGGATTTACAAAACAAAAAGAGTATTTTTGTAATTTCACTAATTTTGGGATGTTTGCTTTGAAATGGGTTGCTTTTAAACCTTAATTGGTGTGCCAAAGGGCCCACCTTCTACTTTTGTTCCACTTGGTTCCCCCCTTCTTTTTCTGCCATGTGGCAGCTCCTACACCCCCATCACCTCTCTTCTCTCTCTTCTCCCTAAGTCTCTCAGCTCACTCTCATTTCTCTCTCTCACTCCCACATAACTCCCTCCCTCTGCCCTCACCCACACCAGCAACACACCCACACAAACCTTCGAACCCATGGTCCATAGACACCACCATTTACTCGAGAGGACCACCCCTCTTCCTGCCTCATCTTTGTGAAGCACAGTGAAACCCAGGAAACCTAGGAGGTTCCTTCAGCGAGCCCGTGAGTTTCGAGCAAAGATCCGGCTACCATTCGACGTGTTCAAGGTACAAATCATCTTCCTCTATTTCATACCTTCCTTTTTGGGGTTAGATCGTACATTAATTTGTGGGTTGGCCATTAACCAGAGCATGGGAAGCCTCGTCCTCCTTTTCCGGCAAGAAACTAAACTAGGCCTTTGGGCCTAAACCCTAAGCCCAAAGCTTTAGGGCAACCCAAACCCAAACCCTTGTCTTTAGGCCTTTGGGCAATTTGGAACTCCGACCCTAGGTCTGTTAACCCCTTGAAGCCCAAACCCAATAACCCTTTTTATTTTTATTTTTATTTATTTTAAAAACCAAAACCCAAAGGCATTGGGCTGGGCTTTCAAACCCAAGCCCCTTATTTGCAACCGATGGCCCTTGATCCGTTGAACCCAAACCCTTTTCCCTTGGGCTGGGTTACCAACCCACTGACCCAAGCCCAAAAGCCCAGGCTCAAACCATGTTCAAAACCTTAGCACAGCTGCGCGTGGGTGATTGCCAGTGCCGATGCGTGGAGCACACACGCCACCGTCCACGGCGACGCCAATGACCTTGTCGGCGACCCACGGCGGCACGTGGCCATACCTGAGGTCCCTTTTTATGTTTTTCGACGTTCTGAACCCATTTATGACGTTCGTTTTCTGAAATTAAATCGTTTGAGTATAGTTTTGTTAATTGTACCCTTTATGTGCTTAGGTGCAATTATTAGCGGCGATTCCATCATTCATATTTCGTACGACTTTACGCGATGAAGTATCTATGAGTGGACCCCTTCTAAAATGCATGTTTTAATAGTATAAATGCATACATGAAAAACATGATTTAATGGTTACGTTTTATGAGTATATTGGAATTATACTTTATGATTATCATGCTTTACTTAGAATATTTTGGAATACCATATTTTATCGAAATTGATGTTCTTTGTAGTATATATGATGGATGACTATATACTAATTATGAACATGTTTTCACACACTTCTTTATAGTATATATGATGGATGATTATATGCTATGAAGATGTTTTGAGATATATGTACCTATGTTTGGAAAGACTATGTTCAATGATTTTGTGTGTATCTAGTGGTCACTGTTCTGCCTACGGGCGAGGGAGATATATGGCTAAGGAAGATATATGTTGATGGCTTCAGGCCGAGAGATATACGTATTGGCTGCAGACCGAAAAATATTGATACTGATACTTCTACTTAGCACACTATATACGAGATATGTTTCATGAAAGGTTTTATGGCATGCTAGGGTTTTCGGAAGACCTATTACTTATTATACTATGAGTTTTCATAAAACTTTGGGGGTTAGTATGTTGTTTAATTGTTTCAATATTATATATATATATATATATATATATATATCAACTTAGTCCACTTACGTTTGTTTTGCACCCCTCTAAGGACTTAGAATCGAGGCGTACAATTTTGGCGTCAAGGCACTTCTTCATCGGCATCTTCGAGTTATCTCGGTGTAGGACCTGCTCCTTTGTTCATTCAATGTTATATTATTTCTTTTTAGTGTTTTAGTTAGTTGTATGCTCTGAACATGTTCCTCATTTGCATAATCATTGTATTTTAATTCATGACTTTTATTTATATTCATAGTTCTTATGCATTCTAATATGGCTTCGTCACCTTCAGGTGTCGGCCAACACGTGCCTACTCTGGTGTTTGGGAGAATATCAGGGTCGAGCCTGTCAACCTTTATACTGTACCCACCCCACCCTTTTCACCTATTTCCTCCCATCAGATCGTCACCGTATTCGAAACCCCCAAACTCGTTGTCGTCACCATGGTCTCCAAGATCAAGACCATTCAGTAGTCGAGACTGTGATTCGCTATCTCTGAAACACGGATTCGCTACTGGCTTCGTTGATCCACAGTCACCTGCGGCCAATCTTTGATAACACCGACCCATCTATGCAGCGACAAGGCCTGCGTCATACCCAGATAAGTGGAAGATGAGCGGGGCAAATGGGTGGGTGTGCGGGGAAGGTGGGTGCAGAGGAGAGAATGGAGGGAGAAGGAGGGGAGAGGGAGAGGGTTCGGGGGGAGTAGGACGCCCATAAAAGAAAAAAAATTATTATTTTAATATCCACATAGACCCATATTGACACGTGGCGCCCAATCATTGTCCATGTGGACGCCACATCTTCAGTTAATGGAGGTCTTAACGGAAAACTTAACGGATGTATGAAAATGTCCCAAAATTATGACTTTAGGTATTAGACTTGGACAAAAAAAACTTCATGTACCAAATGTTGAAAACCAAGAAACTTCAGGATAGTAAATTGAGATTAACCCTTGATTGTAATATCTTGTACTTAGTTTTTGTATTCTTGTAATTATATTCTTAGTAGAATAAGGTATATTGTGCCAATATATTATGAACCTTAAAAAATAAATAAAGTAACGAAGTATTCAACATATTTCTTTTTGACATCAAGAGCTTGGTTTCGTTCAAATTCTAAACGATAAATCGTGTACAATTGCTATGTTTCTACAATTGTGCACAATGTATATTTGACGTGTCCAGCCGTATATCTTTGTGTCGTGGTTCAACAATTTTTCTATGTCGTGTTTGTCGCTATGGTTTGTGCAAATCTGCCACGTTCTGCAGTCTATTTTTCTATCTTGCTGTCAGTGAACAATGCTTAGGGTATCTGTGTATCAGTGCCGTTACAGCTTCTGCCTGGAAGTACTGGGTGCTTAGTAGGATCTCACTGAACAAAATAGTCTAGTTTGGTAGGATCTCACCGAACATAGTTGTCCAATTCGGCAGGACCTCACCAAACAGAACAGGCCAGTTTGGCCAGTCGGTACCGAACAGCACCGTGTTCTTCAGCAGGATTTTCCAAACTACCTACCTAGTATGCATGTTATACCCCATCTCTCTAATCATGTAGTGCCCATTTCATCTCCTCTGAATATCCAAGAGGTAAGTATTTTAAATGATAATACAACTAATCCTAATAATGGTGCCAGTACTTACAAATTTCCAACAAGGCAAAATCGTACTGTTCCACATGACAAGTTCTCTCTAGAAGGAAAAGTAAATTATCCAATCGCTAATTACGTATCATGTGAGCAATGTTCACTAGAGCAGAGGACACTGATAAATCACATGGAATCAATCAAAATTCCAACTTAGGTAGAAGAAGCCCTACGAGACCTAAGGGGATACAAGCTATGGATGAAGAGATATCAACTTTGCAGAAAAATAAAACCAAGGAGGTAGTGCAGTTACCAAAAAGGATGGAATATGTTGGTTGTCGTTAGGTGTTTACAATCAAGTATAAGGTTGATGGATCAGTGGATATGTACAAAGCGAGGTTAGTGGCTAAGGGGTACACTCAAACATACGATGTAGATTACCAAGAAACATTTGCTCTGGTAGCAAAGACAAATACGGTACGTGTTTTGATTTCCTTAGCTACAAATATGGATTTGTCTCTTAAACAGTTTAACATGAAGAATGTGTTCCTTCATGGGAACTTGGTAGAAGATGAGTGCAGATTGCATGTCTCTTAATGGACTCAATGCTTGGTTTGACTGGTTTACTCAGGCAATGAAGAAATACGGGTATCGCCAAAGTCATTTTGATCACACTTTGTTTTTTAAGCATAGGCTTAGCAAATTGACTGCTTTATTAATTTATATGGATGATATGAATATTACAGGGGATGATTTAGAAGAAATCCATAAGTTACAAGTAAATCTTGCATCTAAATTTGAGATGAAAGATTTGAGAGAGTTGAAGTACTTCTTTGGGGGGTTGAGGTTGCTCGTACACCTAAAGGTATTTTCTTATCGCAAAAAAAATATGTGTTGGATTTGTTGAAAAAGGCAAGTATGTTAGGGTGTAAACATGTGGATACTTCTATGGTTGAAAAGCATCACTTGAGTATTTACCTAGATCAAGCTCCTGCTGATGGAGGTGGATATCAAAGACTTGTGGGGGATTGATTTATTTATCTCATACTCGTTATGATATTTCTTTGTTATAAGTGTTGTAAGTCAGTTTATGCACTCACCCAGTGAAGATCACATGGTTGTGGTAATGCAAATTTTAGCATATTTGAAGTTTGCAACCGGTAAGAAAATTCTTTATTTGAAAACATGGGTATCTAAAGGTTGAGCGGTTTACAGATGTAGATTGGGCAAATTATCTCCCTAGTTTATGAAATAATAAATGTTCTAGTTTTTTTTTTAAATTTAAATTTGATTCTTGGATATTTTCATAAAATTAAGTGCACTTGACATAGAAACAAAACGATGACACAAAAGAGGACAAAGTTGAACTTATCTTCATAAAATTACATAAGTTAGGATAAGTAGGGAGTGCAAATCTCTTCCTTCTTAGAGCCTCTCTAATTTTGCCCTAAGTAATTTTAAGTTATATTTAGAAAGACTAGAAATCTATTTTAAGAACTTTTTTTTATACTCCAAACTGCTCCCTAGTTTATGGAGTAATAAGTATTTAAGTTCTTTTTTTAATTCAATTTTGATATATATTTATAAAAACGAGTGCACGGTGGCATATAAACGCAGACAATGAAGCAAAGAATAGAAAATTGAGCTATTTGCATGTCGGGATTTGGAACTAAGTAAGGGCCGTTACACAAACTAGGAGAAATAAAAAGTGCAAATCTCTTCCTTCTTAAGCATCTCCTATCATGCTTTTTGTTTTAAAATTTTAGTTAAAAAAACTAGAAACTTGTTCACCAAAATGACTTTATACTCCAACCATGCTCACTATTAGAGAGTAATAAATATTTTATTAATTGTTTAATTGAATTTTGATACTATGTAAATGTAAAATTCTTAAAACCTAAAGTAAAGATTCATCACTCAGTACTACAGTCTGATGATATTTCTCTTTGCTTAGAAGTAAGAGGCTTTACGTTCAAATCTCGTGAATGGCGAATTTGATATCAAATTAGGCTGCCCGTTGTGTGCTTAGTCGAACTCCCCTTCTCCCTAGTGTAACAATATCGATGTACTAAAAAAAAAGTAAAGACCCTAAACAATAATAAAAAAAAAAAAGTAAATGTTCAAAATAACATTAAATATTAGTCATTTGGAGCCAGTGTCCCTCTTCTTATCTTATAAAGAAGAGCATGTTTGAAGTTGAGTATTACTAACTTAATAAATTTTGACTTAGAAGTTCGTTTAAAGTATGAGAATTCCCACTATTTTCATGGACTATTTTTTTGTCTCCCTTTTCTTATTAACTTGTGTAGTAAAAGTTCTTATTTTGGTCTAATAAATAAAAATCTAATCTTCAAGGAAGATTCACTCATTTATATTTAATAAACCTTTTTTTGGATATACTTTATGATATTTGGGAGAAGAGAAGTGGAATGTGTTGAGTAACAACATAAGGTAAAATAGTGTTAAGTGTGAGTACAAAGTAGAGTTTAAGTACATTACCCTTGGTGTTTATATTCATTTAAAAAAAATATTCATTATAAAAGAAGAAACATTTGCCACATAATATTATGGTGTAGTGATATTCTTTTTTATTTTGTACGTGAGATGTTTTAGGTTCGAATCTCGTGAAAAGTAAGTTCAAAAAGAATTTATTCCCCACCATTTACTATCATATAATATATATATATATATACACACACACATATATATTTCATTTCTTTTAGGCTTTTTATCCAAAATAGTCCATGCGATTGGTATAACTTTATATTTTGGGCCCTGATATTTGAAATGGATAGAAATGGTCCTTGAATTTATCCATCATCAATCATTTTGATCTTTTTACGGTCCTTCTATGAAAAATCTTGTTAAATTAGAACCAAAATGAAAAATATACTCTAAATTTAATAAATAATGGGCCAAAATAATATGACAAAAATAGAGGATACATTTTTTTATTTTTTCCTTATTTAACAAAAAATTTCACGGAAGTACCCAAATAATTAATGGTAGACAAACTCAATAATCATTTCTATCGATTTTAAATCTCAATGATTAAAATAAAGAGTTATGTCATTTCAAGGACAATTTGACTAAAAAGCCTTTCTTTTTTGCAACGAAAAAATCATGTAAAATCATGATATGCATTCAAAGATTATATCCACCAAAAATTTGACTAAATCCAACAAAAACCTAGGATTTTGACTCACACTATGACATTAAATTCTCGTTTACAATATTCGTAATTGTATTTAGAATTATGATTATATTCTAATTACGGATGAGGGACAAATGAATGATGGACGCTTAAGTTCATTGTATTATGATTAAGCATGATCCGGGCTCTCAAATGTAAGGAATTTTTATTCAACCGACGCGTTTTCTCGCACGCAATGTACGTGACTCATGAAAAACAACGGGCCTCATTTACTGTGGGTGTAAGCCGAGGCAGAACAAGCGATGCACATTAATAAATATCGCGAAAATTCCGGGGATAAAAAAGGATAAAACAAAATCAAAAGTTGGAAAAAAAAAAAAAAGTAAAGAAAATAGCAAAATGACACCTTTTGCTAGGCTATAAAACCCAAGAGATTTTTTTGAGAGTCCAAGTCCCAACCAAACGCCTCCATACCAATCTCTCCAGTCTCTTCCCTCACTACTACACACAGTAATCAAAGAAATAGAGATCCGAAGAGACCAAGGCATACAAGTGCCTTGGTTTTTTCTTCTCTTTAATTGTGCTACATTGTCAAATAAATTCTCGAACCATGGCTGCCCTTCCAGAATCTTTGTTGGCCGATCAATCGTCATTACCGGGAGACCAAGCTGGTCAGCCTACATCCCGGCCGCCCCAACCCGGTGACGGCGACCAGTCCAGAAGGGTTCCTGTGGAGCAGTTGATTCTAGAGCTTAACGATGATCGTACCCGAGAAAATGCCCTACAACGCCTCTCTAAGGTCACGATCATAATTCATATATTTCCTTTATCATTTCTCTCTCTCTCTCTCTCTCTCTCTGTCTCTCTTCTTTTTTTTTTTTTTTTTTTTTTTTTTTGCCTTATTTCTTTTCTAATCGAATTGCATGTTATATACATATATTTCTTGGTTTATTACGTCAATTATATTTTTTCTGCATCAACAGTGGCTTTGCATGTCACGTTCAGAGTCTTTGTGTTACGTACACTGATTTTTTTAAGTTATAATTATAAAATTAATATTTTTGAGGGAGCAGCAATTTTGATGGTGCAGTTCTGTTTAATTCTTGTTTAGGGTTGACTTCTTCTTTTAAATGTTTTTATTTACCCCTTTTTTGGTTGGTTCCCACTGATGATAGAGGGGTTTTATATTAAGGGGTGAAAATTAGCTATTAAAATTACAGGATAATTGCGGGTTTTCTATACAGAACCTCAAGTTTCATCTAGCTATGGAGTGTTGTGAAATATAGGTAATGACAAGGGGTTGCTTCATATGATACATGCATATGGACTATGTACAGATATAACGCTTAGCAGATCAAATTTTTTTATTCATAAGGATAATACTTTTTCCTCAATTTCCCATTAAATTGACATCAACACCCAATATAAAACGTCATAATAAGTACTATTCATTTTCTTTGTCATCATCTAAAAATCTATCTGTAGAAAAACTTATATGATTCGGAGATGTGTAGTCATTCATATGTGTCAAACAAATCGATCGTTCATCATAATTATCAATTTGTTTGACATAAATGGATGAATACATAATTTTAAAATTGAAATAATTTCCTTAGAGATGATCTTTAGATGTTGATAAGAAGAGTAAACAATTTTAATTATGAAGTTTGTACAGTGAAATGATGTCACGTAAAGGAAACGACTGCTAACTCATATCTTACCCAGTGAAAAAAAGTTCTTATTGAAAATTATCACTCTCTCTAAGTTCAGATTAGGGAAATTCGTGAAGACTTGGCTCCATTACTGTGGCACTCATTTGGTACTACATTTACGCTGTTGAAGGTATGGCATGCATGTCACTTGGCTGTTTTAATTAATAAGTTTCAATTAAAATTGAGTTAATTCCCAGATTAAAATTTACGATGATTTAGTTCGTTCATATTTTTCGTTATATGCAGGAAATAATTGCAGTGTACCGCTTACTTTCAACCCCAAATCTTACTCAGGAATCATCAAATCGGGCATGCAATACTCTCTCTCTCTTTCAGGTCAGTACTCTCACAATAATTTCAGTTCAATTTGTCTACAGTAAAATGATTTCCACAGTACTCTTTTTCTCTTTTAAACGCTTGCGTTTATTTTGGTTAAATTGAGTAAATTAAAGAAGAATCAATGAACAATAACAAAAAGGTGTGTGCGTAGCTGCTGAGCTAACGACATTTGCTACTGTGATTTTGGTTAAATCATCATGTTTCCTTTGTGTTAAGCTAATGACATTTGCTACTGTGATTTTGGTTTTGATTTTTAACAGTGCATAGCTGCTCATCCTGAGACAAGAGAACCATTCCTCCGGGGTAATTTTCTTTTGCTAAATAAATCTGTATAAACCGCGACCTCTTATGACCCCAAAAGTAATGCATACTTAACTGAGTTTTGATCTTGTTTGCAGCTATTGTGCCGTTCTATATTTACCCTTTCCTCAACACGACGGAAAAGGACAAGCCTCATGAATACTTAAGGCTGTCGAGCTTAGGCGTTATTGGTGCCCTTGTCAAGGCATGTACATATGGAATCATGGATTACATTTGAGAAATGCACAGACGAAACTAGTTACAAATATTTTATCCAAACAATAATCCATATACAAACAACGATTTAGCACCTCTTTATTGTTTGTTTAGTGTCCTGCAAATAGTTTATACTTCTTATATATCCCATTTTCATATCTTTCTATGAGCTTGAATGTTCATTAACATAATGACATACATAAATTTGGATTCCCCTTTTCCCCGGTTCAGGACAATGATGAAGAGACTGTTCTTTTCCTTCTCCAAACTCAAATATTCTACCATTGCATGCGCTGCATTGAAGTTGGCACTGGACTGTCAAAAACTGTAAGAAACTAACAAAGGAAGTTTATAATAATTAATTATTTCTAAACTTAATTATGCTGAAAAATCTTTTTATCTGTATATGCAGGTGGCCACATTCATAATGGAGAGGATTCTGATGAGTCCTGAGGGACAGAAGTACTGCTGCGCTTTCCATGATCGTTTTTTCGTAATCACTCAAGCTCTTACCAAGATGCTCGACAGGATTACTACAGAAGAGCCTTCCCTCCGGCTGCTTAAACTTATCGTTCGTTGCTGTATGAGGCTCGCAGAAGGCCAAAAGTAAGTTACTCTTCATACTTAATACTTCCAGGTCCAAGCTCAGTCGCGAGTCTCGGACTAGAAAAGATTGGAATTGAGTTCGAGCAAGTTCTAATATATTTGTCTAATACAATTAACTAGTCCAGTCTCAACAATTTCAAGTTCGTTAAATATCCGTTGTTCTTTAGTCTAATTTAACTAAAATATTCGAGTTCAGGATCGAGCCTGCAACACTCTAAATAAGACTAGTAACATACAATATGTTAGACTGTTCTCCACTTTATCTATAAGTTTACCAAATGTCATTAGTCTAATTTAGTTGAAATAGTCGAGTCCAGATCGAGTCAGCAAACGAGGAACATAATTACATTTGTTAATTGATGTTTGAATTTTTCATTGCAGGGACGCTGACTACAGAAAGTTGTGTCTTCCTAAGAGCTTGAAGGATCCTAAAGTCATTAACCTCATCGCTGTAAGTTCAATTACTTTTTGTTGGCTTTCTTCCCACAGGCCCCTTCATTTTTTACTGAAACAATTCTTCTTGATTTAATTTCCAGGACGACCCAACATCCATGGCATGTATGAGACGACTTGTTCAGTGTCTTACAACTGCGAGAAGGGCTCCTCCGACAGACGCAGGCGCGGAGGTTGAAAACGGGCACCCGGTGAAGACTGAACAGGAGTAGCAGACGAACCATGTTATCATCACCCATGGTGGTCAATCCCCACCACAGATGAAATACCAAAACCATGCAGACTGAAAACTGTTGTAATATGTTGCTTCTAATGTGCACTTTGTTTTCGTTGTTGTAATTTTACTTTTAAACTGTATCATGTTACTAGTGCTTGTACTTGTTGTCGAACTGCTGTAAAATGTTCTTCCTAGACCGAAATGTACCTGTAGACCGCTGTTTGTGTTAAAGTTGCCTTGCTTTTTATTGCTTTTTGGCATTGGTTGAGTTAGTCCCACATCGACTAGTTGAGAAGAAGATATAGACTTTATAAAGCTCTTTCGCGCCTCACCGGTCACGACCTTACTTGAACAGGATCTGTTCTATAGGTTGTACATCTGTATCCTTGATCTCTAGAGAGACAGGAACCCCAGTCTGGTGGATGAACCAAGACCGTGCGATCAGAGCGTGATTAACAGCCCTGTGATCTTTGGATTATTCGAGCAGTAGATGATCGTTCTCAGCCGTTGTAAAACCGGCTGGGGTGGTCACACGGTTGTCTGACAGACCCCCATTCTTTGGTATTTTTTTTTTTTTTTTTTTTTTTTTTCATTCTCCTCTTCATTTCTTTCTCCAATCCTAACTATGGTGGAATATTTCCGAGATGTTCATGAGCAAGACGTACTTCTATTTATCAACAATATCTTCCGTTTTGTCCAAGAAGGATCCGAAGTATCTGCTTTCTTGGGTAGAATGCCTTCCACTGTGGGTAATCAACCCACCCTTGGTACTGAAATGGGCACTTTACAAGAAAGAATTACTTCTACCAAAGAGGGGTCTATAACTTCCGTCCTGGCAGAGGCATTGTGCCCGCCGTATTGCATCTCGTCTCCGATCGCCGGGTCAAAAAATACTTCCAACATATTTCTTCCATTCTCAATCATGAACTCGATACCGTCATTTCTTTCTAGTCTGGCTTAGCATTTCTACATGAGATTATAAAGAATAAAACACAAAATTGGGAACAAACAGAAGTAGAATTATATGAACAACCAACATTACATGATAGAAACTCATAAACGAATTCCGTCTCAATCTTTAGAAGGGGGATGTAATTCGTCTTGCTTGGGAGGCATTGAAAGAGTGCTTTCGAGCATGAACGAGAGATCATGCATCTGTGACATTATTCTCTCCACATCGTCAGATTTCGATCCTGCTCTTGCACTGGAAACATCTCCGCCCTCCGCCACATCTTCAGATTTTTTCCCATTGTTTGTGCTTGCATCAGCCAACCTAAACACGCAACAGAAAAGGTGGTTAAGATATGTTCATCAAAGAATGTACCGATACATTTTCCATGAAGCTTTGTGTATGAGATTATTGAAAACAGCAAATATAGCATTCCATGGTGGCTCCAAACAGTATTCTGAGGCTATAATAGCACCCATATAAGTTGGCTTATACACGCACCTGTCTAATACAGAAGGCTCTGGCTGCGCTCCATCCACTACAGTTGAACCGCTGGAGCTGTTAAATGCTCCTGCTGAGAAATCTGGTTGCAAAAAGCTACCAAAATCCAAGTCACCGGAGTTGCTAGCTGCGCCGAACAAATTTATTTCTGAAGTGTGATCAACAGGTGTTGTCTGATTATTACTTTGTTGTACAGAACTATCTGCAAGATTTGATGCATTATTTGAGCCAGTAAAATCATTCCAAGCGTCAAATGAATCGTCATCTGCATCAGTAGTCTTATTATCAGCAGCCTTGTTGACAGTGGTCTGCAATTGGTTGTCTTGAACCCAATCAACACCACTTTGTTTTACAGAACTATCCACAACTTTTGGTGCATTACTCGAGCTTGCAAAATCATTCCAAGCATCAAATGAATCATCATCCTCATCGGTAGTCTTATTATCAGGAGCCTTGCTGCTAGTGGTCTGCAATTGGTTGTCTTGAACCCAATCAACACCATTTTGTTTTACAGAACCATCCACAAGATTTGGTGCACTACTCAAGCTTGCGAAATCATTCCAAGCATCAAATGAATCATCATCTTTATCAGTAGTCTTATTATCAGAAGCCTTGCTGCTAGTGGTCCGCAATTGGTTATCTTGGACACCACCCTTCACCTCCGCAAGTGTTTCTAACTGTTCAGGCCCTCCAGAAAACACAGAGTTGGAAACGCCCACCAGATCATCTTGAAACCAGTCGGTGGACATGGATGTAGACCCAGTCAAACTATGGTTTGATTTTTCATTTGTTGAGTCCACTACAGACCCAAATACTGTGTCTATGTGAGCAGAAAGATCCACCGTGGAACCCACAAAGGGGTCAAGGGATTTTGATTCTTGGGGAAAGCTTTCAGGAGCTTGAGGAAGGGTTTCAGAAGCTTGAGGAAGGGTTTCAGAAGCTTGAGGAAGGTTTTCAGAAGCTAAAGGAAGGTTTTCAGAAGCTCGAGGAAGGGTTTCAGAAGCTTGAGGAAGGGTTTCAGAAGCTTGAGGAAGGTTTTCAGAAGCTAAAGGAAGGTTTTCAAAAGCTCGAGGAAGGGTGTCAGAAGCTTGAGGAAGGTTTCCAGAAGCTTGAGGAAGCGATTCAGAAGCAGCAAACTGAAAACTTGCGGCCCAACCAGAATCACCACCCCCTCCTTCAGTAGTCTGCACAACTGTCTCAAAAGGCTTTACATTCTGAAACAAACTAAGAGTTTCATGAACTTGGAAACTCTCTTTACTGACAATCTGTGTGTTAGACCCAAACAGCCCTTCAGAACTACCCGAAGCACGGTCTTTGTTTCCTTCAAAGAAAAAGTTGTCGAGATTGACTCCAACCAAATCTGGTAATTTGGGTAGATTGGGGTTCTCATTTGAGAGATCAGTCCCAATTTTCTCTGGCCTAGAGGTCCATTTTATTTCAAGATTTAAGAGATCAGACAGACTTAACTCATCCTTCCGTGCAGTCTGTCCTCTGTTTAATTCATTTGCTCCAATAGGTAAATCCACTATCTCCTGCAAACCAAAGTCTCAAACTTGACCCAAGTATTCAAGAAGTCCCAAAAATTAATATCAAAGTTTACAATCTACGTTAACAAGAGGACAATAATCCTCATTTCTAGCAAACAAATGATAGGCAGACAACTATAATTTCCCACATACATGATATGGTTACTGAATAAATGGACTACAAATATGCAGCACCTACAAAATTTCGAGTGTGATCTGCTTATAATCTTACTAAGTAGATTTTGATACAAATCATATACAAATACAATGTATTATTTCTCCATCTCTGCATAATCTCAGAATCGCCTTTAAGCGTTCAAGCTTTTTAGTTTTCTATGCACTGTAGATTAACTCAATTAGCTTCGAATCAGAAAACGCAATTAACGAAGTCATTACTCCGTTGGGTGGCTACAACAAGCTGGTAAAACACATTAAGTACACTAAAACGATCAAAGCTTCAATCTTTTTCATCATCCAGAAGCACCAAAACAAATAATTTGTTAAAATCCCTGCTTTTTCCTGAAGCAGAACTTCATTCCACAAGAACGCATTGATAATTCAAATTCCGTTTCTTTCTAGTTTTCGCATCAACCAAACAGAACAAGAATCCCCTTTTTATTCCCCATCTTAATCTCAATTTTCTCATCAACCAAACAAAAGATAGAAAATCAAGTCGCATACCGATCCACTTAAGCTCAGGGACTGGAGCAGCCACCGGTACCCAAAAGTATCCCGGAAATTGACGGGGTCAGGAGGCAGGTCCTTGCAGAGTTCTCTGCCGCAGAAGACGCAGGTCAGCGTCTGAACGCCCCTCAGCAGCCGCCCCTTGCAATGCATGCACCTCAGGTACGGCGGCGATGGATCCAACTCCGCCAGGGTTTCTTCGACCGAAGGCAGATTGGGCAACGGCGCGTCGTCTGGGTCGTAGGACGACATGTTCGCTTCTTTCCGAAGCGAGATCTGCACCTGCTTTATCACATCCATCGGGATTTCCATCGCCACTTTCAGGGTTGGTGGCTGTCGATGCGTGTGGTGGAATAGGGCGGTTGAGTGATGAGGGACACAGAGTGACTAGATCGCCGTACTTCCCACCAGTTTATGTTCAATTCTCATCACTCGTAATACGGTGGTAATCCTGAGAGGTTAATTATTACTTTTTTTTTTTAGTTGGGGTTTTTTTTTTTTTAAATTTTTATTCTCGTTTTTTTTGCAACAATAAAATATAAAAAAAATTAATGAAAAAAACTTCAAAACTTTGAGTTTTAACGATAAAGACAAAATAAAGGGTAAAGTGAATGGTACCAGGTTTAACTTTTAGTGTAAAAATGTGGTTTTTCGTTAAAGTGAACAGTACTGCTGGCTTTTCGTTAAAACTTCCTAAAATATATATCGTCATACTACAATAAATAAACAAGAGAATATTTTTGTGGATCGAGAAGATTCACAAAAATATTTCTGTATCTCATGTCTGCTGTCGTGCGATTTACTAATGCCAAGAGCTTCATAAAAAATTTACTATTACAAATTTACTAAGAGAGTAACAGTATTCAATTCGAACACATGAGTAAAACTTAGCACTCTATTCATTACAACCAATGTAAAAGAGAAGAAAAGATATTCCATTATACATGTTAACTTTTACTCAAAATTTTAACAGATTATGAAGAATTATACAAAACTCTTTATAAAATTTAATTTTGTAAACCCAAACGCTACTTAACACAGGTAAACCGGGAAAATTATTTACCAAAGAAATAAATAAACCGGCAAAATGAAACCGTTTCATAATAGGGAAATTTTATTTAAACCTTTTTTTTACATTTAATTTAAATTTTAAATGTTAATTGTCTATTTTATCAGATTGCATAATTACTATTAAGTACAAAATGAAATTAATAATAATACTCAAATTTATCAATAAACTCACACATTTTAATTAAACCTTAACATCACTCTTTGTTTATCCTGTGTTCTTTCCGACTAAAAAGAGTAAGTTAAACGTAAAAAAAAAAGTTTAGATGGATTTAAATAAAATTCATTTTCGTAATATCGTAGTCGGACCAACTGGCAATCTCACTCCCAAAACAGTGAAGCTTAAATAAAATAAAAATAAAAAAACAGCGTCAGTGCGTCGCTGCCTCCCACAATCAGAAAGCAGCCATCTTTGATCTTCGCAAGTCTCAACTAAACACCGGCGGTCGAACCGTTGAGAATCGACGTCGCCGACTCCCAATTCCGCTACTTCCGATCGATTCGATTTCTGAAGCTGAGGAAGAATCGAGATTAAGAGAGAGATGGCGACGAGTCAGGCGGTGCTGAAGGCGGGGCTGGTGATAGTTGGGCTGTGCATAGCCGGGTACATAGTGGGGCCGCCTCTATACTGGCACTTCATGGAGGGCTTAGCCGCCGTCTCCCACTCTTCTTCTTCCTCCCCTTCCGCTTGCCCTCCTTGCACCTGCGATTGCTCTTCTCAGCCTCTCCTCTCCATCCCCATTGGTAATTTACTCTTCTTTCACTTGCCCATGATCCATTTTTGCCAGATCTGATTAGATCTCTTGCATTTTTCACTTTTTGTTCTGTTGGGTTTTACACATTTTGTGCTGATTTGATGCCAATAAGCTCAAATTTCCATTCACTGATTTCAATCCTTCCTGGGTTTTTGTTGAATTTTTAAAGCAACTGGTTTTTAATTCACTCGGCTAATTTACTAATTTATTACTTGTTGATTGGCATTATTATCGGATGTATACTTATATTGGTTTGTTCTTTCGTCTGCAGGACTCAGCAACATTTCCTTTGCAGGTTAGTCTCTTTTTGTATATATGTTTATATAAACTGATTGGGTATTGATATAATTGACTGCTTTATATCTCTCTCTCTCTGGATATATATATATATATATATATTTGGCTGTAACATGTATGTATGATTCTAGATTGATTGTGTTGTGGTATCAATAGCTCCTTGCCATAAAGTAGCGTACTTTCTCATGTTTATGTTGAATAATTAATATTCCCCTGAGGTGTTACATGATAAGGACTGTAATAATGTGGCAAATATTCAATACAAAGTGCTTTCGAGGAAATCCGTCTGAATCCCAAAATATCATTCAATCCGAAGTAGTATTTTCTCAATTTTTTTTCGCCTTTAGATCTTCCCTGATAGACAAAGTTTCTTGGGAGAAATGTCAAATCTTGCAGTTACGTAACCTTCCCTGTTTACCCTATTTTCCTTAAATCCTTTTATTCCTACATTCTGTCTCTCAACATTACGTGAGTTGATTATGTAGATTATGTGTGGTTTCTCCTCGTTACAATCTTTGAAGTTAAGATTGCAACCAGAGCTCTGGACTCGTAGCTTTCATTAGTGGGACTGGCAATCGATCTGTTCTTCTGATTTTACCATGCAATTTTCATTGTTTTGGAATGAACCCAACCACCCCTTTTCCTCAACTTGCTTTTTATAGTTGTTGATTTCACTTTGTAGGAAGAGTTTGTGTCATTGATATTTATCTGTTATTTTCTTATTTTGGTTGAACCATCCTTCAAATGTTGAACATGGAGGTTAAGTTGAAACTCAAAATCATAGAATGTGGACTTAGTGTCCTAAATTTGGTTTTGCATTGCATTTGCAAGCCAAGTTGGTGATTCAAGTGATTGGCTACATGAAGGTTTCAGATTTGGTTCGATTCTTATATTCTTTTTACAGTCTGTTTATTTCTTTGGTACAAATTATGCAGACTGTGCAAAGCATGATCCAGAGGTGAATGAAGACACTGAGAAGAATTTTGTGGATCTTTTGACCGAGGAGTTGAAGCTTAGGGAAGCTGAAGCTTTGGAAACTCAGCAACGAGCTGATATGGCTCTACTAGAGGCCAAGAAGATTGCATCCCAGTATCAAAAGGAAGCAGACAAGTGCAGTTCAGGGATGGAAACATGTGAAGAAGCAAGGGAGAAAGCTGAAGCAACATTAGAGGCGCAGCGGAAACAGACAGCATTATGGGAGCTCAGGGCTCGTCAGAGAGGGTGGAAAGAAGGGCTTACAAAGTCTAATACTCAGACGCAAGGAAATGTCCAGACTGTGTAGAAAAGCTCTGTAGCGTTTTTGGAACAGCCAAAGGCTAGTCTTCTTCAACATGGCACTTCCTCTCTTGGTTAGTGATAAACTTTTACTAGGTTATTCTTCTTCACCTTAAATCGTGCATGCTATGCAATCAATTTCATTTACGAAACTGAATTATTTGTATTTACAGTTAAAAGTATAGAGAACTTAGTTGTGTTATCTAGCCTTCCAAAAGCAATCGATGTTGTGGCAAGAACCTTAAGCATCACATTCTCCACCGAATTATAGTTGAAAGTTTCACTTGTATGACTGAAACCAGAATTCTTCATTGAATGTCAGAGTATCGATGGCTGTCGAAGTCCTGGCTTGAGTATGATTGGTTAATGTTGAGCTCTTTTGTATTTGATCTAGGAAATTTTCACTTCCTGTGCTTCTTCGATGAAGTCGGTACTTCAATTACTCGATATGCTTGCATTTGAAATCCAGGTCCAATAATTCCTATAAAAGCTCAATTCCATTGACCATATATAAAAACCTGGCTGCCCCAGCAACTCAGCTGACTACTCGACCATCATGTCCGTGGGGGGTGCACTTGGGCAGGAAGAGATTTTGCTCATAAGCACTTCTGTTAGAAGCACATTGAAACTTTATAAAATTTCAAGTGCTTTTGCATTGAAAAGTGCTTTTAGGACCTTGAAGCATGTCCAACTTTTTCTATCAAACGCTATCAGAAACGCTTTTGATTTCCTGGAAAAACTTTTAGCCATTCTAAGGAGGCGCTACGACAATAGTTAATGGAACTTTTAGTTGTCTCAAAATGCTACAAGATCTATGGACCAAATAATGAAGAACAGAGTGGGACAATGGGTATGAAATCACTAACATAATCCTTGATTCTTTAAGAAGGGCATGCATGATTTTGAAGCCATTGTGCAATTTTTCATCTATGGTATGCATGATGCAGTGATTCAGATTTAGAAAATTAAGTGTCAGGTCATCTTCAACTGAATGCATGACGCAGTGATTCAGATTCAGAAAATTAAGTGTCAGGTCATCTTCAATTGAAATGATTAGATATAGTTCTGTTTAGAGTTTTGCCTTATAAGAAATTATTATTAAATAAACAGTATCAGACTATACTCATATTATATCATCTTCAACTAAAAGTACTAAACATAGTCTCTCAATAATTTATTAGTTTTAAGGTTATACTTAAATTTATTAGTTAATTTAATTAAACTACCGTTTGATGTTTTTAAATCTAGCTGTTGAATTCGAATCAACTAATGAAGTTAAGGAGTTGGGCCCCAAAAAATAGGGTGGACTACGTTTGGCTAGCCTGATGCCTTCCAGTCAAATAATGACTGATGAGCTCTATAAAATTATAGCCTAACAATCTATTAAACATGAGTTTTTGGATAATCAGATCATTTTTTATTTTTGAACCTTTTGCCCTCTACATAAAAAATGATTTTAAATCTTGCATATAGAAATGCAGTTGCTCTTTGTACCAAATAAATTTCATGTCAAATTTGTATCACTGAATGTTTCGTTGAACTCATTTGTGTCAAATCATCCCAAACAAAGTGAGGTAGTGGAGTGGGCATGATCCACCAAACACTAAAAGTACCAACCATCATCCACAATAAATTTCTTAAATTTCTAATTCACTTTATTTAATTGAACTGGTCACCCCAAGCTTTGGCCATTTTCCCTCAAATATCTGTCCTTGTTTATTTAATTACCTACAAACCCCTACAGAGACTGAATTTTACAAAAACAAACAAAAATTCATGTGTGATCCATCAATCCACATTTCAACGGCTGTGATCACCCCACTCTCTCACTTGGCCTTCTCGAGGGCTGTGATTGAAGTACCGGTCCCTGTGATTGAATCATATCTTTGAAATACGTATGCCACAAGCAAAGTAGCAGTGAGGGTCACATAGTCCTTTGCAGCGCACTGCTTGTTGGACTCACTTGGTGAACCGGTCTGCGGTCCGTTGGACCAGTACAAGTAGTTCAGTAACTCTTTGTTCTTCATGAACCGGTCCGGTTTAAAGGTGTCCGGTTC